CGGCGGCGGCGGCGGCGGCGGCGGCGGCGGCGGCGGCGCACGCCTTTAATCCCAGCACTCCGGAGGCAGAGCCAGGCGGATTTCTGTGAGTTCGAGGCCAGCCTGGGCTACAGAGTGAGTTCCAGGAAAGATGCAAAGCTACACAGAGAAACCCTGTCTCAAAAAACCAAAAATAAATAAATAAATGAATGAATAACAGTAATTTATCAAAGCCAATGTCCTGGTTTGGGTGGTGCCAGGATTACAGATGCAAATATTAGAGGAAGCTGAGTGAGAGACAAGTGAAAGTCTTGTGTGCCAGTTTTACCTTTCTGTGGGCCCAATACTATTTCAAAATAAAAAATTAAGCAGGGCTGGTGGCACTCTTGAGAAAAGGCAGTAGGAGGGTGAGTTCTGGGCCAGCCTGGGCTACAGATTGACTGTCTCAGATTTTTGGAAGGGCTGGGGAAGTGCTTTCACAGTCGAGTGATTGCCTTGTCTACAGCAGGGCCTTTTAATAAAAGCACTCAGCATATTTCAAATAAGTTGCGTTGGGGCTGGAGAGATTGTTATTTATTGGTCGCGTTGTTTACCAGGTGTGAGAAAACACGAGGTGCAGTGGAGCCCACTGTAAGAGTTTTTATTAGGGAAGGGTAGAGGTGGGTAGGCCTACGGAAAAGAAAGGTGTGTGTGGTGGGGGGTCAGGGGGTGTAAGGCCCTGGGGTGACTAAGCGTTTTGTCTGACTGCTGACAGCACATGCACAGTCACGTGACTCCAGAAGTGGCCAGGAATAATAACAGAGGTGGCTCAGTGGTAAGAGCACTGACTGCTTCCAGGGGAGCAGGGTTCAACTCTCAGCATGCAATGGCGGCTCACAGCTGTCTGTAACTGCATTTCTGGGGGTCTTATGCTCTCTTCTATCCTCTAAGGGAAGTTCATGCATGTGGTGCACATACATTCATTCAGGCAAACATTCAGATGCACCAAATAAAAATAAATAAGCCTTTAAAAAAAAAAACGAAACAAGTCATCTTGCCCCCTCAGCTCCTTCGTTCCTCTCCATGGCCCCGTAGATCTGGCTAGAATTCCAAGGCCGTGCATACTGCTGGTCAGAGTGAGGAAGAGGAAAAAGAACTAACTGAGGGGCAGAGGGTCAAGCCTGCTTTCCTGTGTGGTCCGCAGCTGGCTGTTTCTGCCTCCAGCTGGAGAGCTCAGCCCTGGCGGAAGTCGCTCTAGAGCACCTTGGAGGAAGTCGCTCTTATCGCCTGCCAAAGATGACGGAACGATACAGTCTGGGTCGCAACGCCATCTGTTTGTGCCCTCGGAGTTTCTAAAACGATCCCAGTGCGTACAGATCTGAACTCCCCAAGTCACACTGGCGGGGGAAAACCCCAAGAGGCTTCCCGGCAAGACTGTTCCTGCACGCTTGGCCGGGAAGCAGGTTAAGTCGTGAAAGGCGGTGCTGACGGAGGACCGTGCTGTCAGTCATCCTGGTTGCCGGGGAGATGTCCAAGCTTGCCGCTGTCAGGTCGGCTTCCGCCAAACCGGAGTGTCCTGAAGCTAAGACAGATGCTCTGACTCAGTGCCTGTCACACTCATGGGTGAATTTTCCCACCAAGAAATCAGGATTTTTTTTTTTCCTACACTGAAATTCCCAGCAGGGCTGGAGAGATGGTTAAGAGCATGGGCTGCTCTTGCAGAGGACCCAAGTTCAAATCCAAGCACCCACACGGCAACTCACAACTGCTGGTAACTCCAATTCCAGGGGATCTGATGCCATCTCCTGGCCTCCATGGCCACCAGACACACATGTGGTACATATACACACAGGCAGGCAAAACACTCAAACACATAAAACAAAGATAAATAAATCTTTAAAAAAAAATCCCAGAGCTGGAGAGATGAATCAGCAGGTAACGACCTGAATTCAATTCCTAGAACCCACTCCACACCGTTGTCCTCTGGCCATCTGTGCTGTGCATGGCATGTGTGCCCCTACACACACACACACACACACACACACACACACACACACTTTTTTTTTTTAAGATTTATTTATTTATTTATTATGTATACAGAAGAGGGCGCCAGATCTCATTACAGATGGTTGTGAGCCACTATGTGGGTGCTGGGAATTGAAC